TAAGATAATAAAAATTTTAAAATTTAATAAATAATATTCTCTCATCATATATAAAAAGAATATATAAACTTATCATTATTGAGATATTAACACGCACATGTAGCATCCACAAACAAAATAATAAGTTCAAATTAAAAATAAGAACACATAAATATATTTGTTTCAGCTTAACTTATATTGGCCTACAACTTAATCCACTATAAAAAAATCTTTATAATTGAGAGACGTTTGAAATAAAAAAAAGTCACAAAAAACTCTTTACTCAAAACTTAACACAAAACTCAATAGCCTATTTACCTAGCTATTCTTTTGGTGTCTAACTATTTGGGATTATCAAATCAAAATCAAAACATTTTATTTATAAGAATGAAAATTCTTTATACATTTATTAAACTCTCGATATGGGATACAAAACAAATTAAAACTCTTATAACTTTCAGTATGGGATTTTGAGATTCAAAGCAAATCCCAACAAATCCTCCCTTAACTTGAATCTCTAAACAATTGAATAGAATCTGCCAAGCTAATACGCTTACTTTTCTTATTTTCTTTCATCACAGGGATCCAAGGAACTGAGCCTACATCAAGCATGTACAAGTGATTTTTAACTCTCAATTGTAGAATCATACTATCATTCTTGTACACTTTTAACTAATCATTACTACCATAATATGTGTATCTCTGAGAAGCTAAATTATCTAAATCAATCAAATTATAGCTACAACTTGGTATATACCTTACATGATGAAGCATCTTAACAACACCATTGTGAGATCTAAGGCGAACACTCCCAATGCCTTGACTCTGCACTTTTTCATTGTTGACAACTACAATATTCTCATACTTTTCATTCTCTTTCAACTCCACAAAACAACTCTTATAATTGCAAACATGAATAGTAACAGCTGAATCCAAAACCTAACCTTTATCACCTTTCAAAGTCAGAGTTTCATCCACACAAGTCATCAAAACAACATCATCATCATTAGATACAATAGTAGTAATATCACATTTTTCCTCATCCAAATTTTTCTCATCATTCGCCTTTTTAAAAGTAGCCATATCCCTTCTTAGCTTTTTATAGTGCACTTGGATATGTCATTTTTTACCACAATAATAACATTTTATATCACTGTAATCTCTATCTCTGGACTTGGATCTTTCTTTTGATCCATCAATTCTCTTTTGAACCCTCATTTGATCAAAACCCTTTACAGCTAGTGTATTCCCTCAAAGTGATAAGTTTTATGTTCCCATAAATCTTTCGTTTTCACGTAACAGGACAGTCACATCATCCAACTTCAAAGTAGACCTACCCACCAACACAGTATGAACTAAAGGTCTATAAGACTTGAGCAAAGATGATAGCAAAATTAAAGCCTTTTCTTCATCTTTTAACTCATTAATAGAAATTACCAATAGTTGAGAAACCAATCTATTAATCTCATTCAGGTGATTATGAAGACTCGTACCTTCTTTCATCTTTAGAGAATACAAATCTATTTTTAAATATAATCTGTTAATCAATGACTTTGAAGCATAAATACCCTCAAGCTTATCCCATAAACTCTTCGAAGTACTCTCAATCAACATACTATACTTTACCTCTAGGGCTGGCACCAATCTAATAGTACTAATAGCTTTCTTTTGAATTCTTTTCCAATTACCGTCAAACATTCTCTCAAGTTTACTACTCTCTAATGCCTGATCCAACCCTTATTGTACTAATAGATCTTGAATCGTACTTTACCATAACATAAAATTACTCTTTTCATCAAATAACAAAATCTCAAACTTAGTGGATATGTCTTTTTTCACCATAATAATAACATTCTATATTACTGTAATCTCTATCTCTTGACTTGAATCTTCCTTTTAATTCATCAATCTTCTTTTGAGTTCTCCCTCAATCAAAACCCTCTATAGCTAGTGTATTCCCTTTAAGTGATGAGTTTTGTGTTCTCATAAACCTTTCGTTTTCACGTAATAGGGCAATCACATCATCCAACTTTAAAATAGACCTATCCACCAACACAGTTTGAACTAATGATCTATAAAATTTGGGCAAAAATGATAGCAAAATTAAAGCCTTCTCTTCATCTTTTAACTCATTAACAAAAATGATTAGTAATTGAGAAACCAATATATTAAACTCATTCAAGTGATTATAAAGACTTGCACCTTCTTTCATTTTTAGAAAATACAAATTCATCTTCAAATATAATCCGTTAGTTAATGACTTTGAAGCATAAATACCTTTAAGCTTATCCCATAAACTCTTCAGGGTATTCTCAGTCAACACACTATACTTTACTTCTTAGGTTAATGCCAATCTAATAATACTAACAGTTTTCTTTTGAATTCTATTCAATTACTGTCAGATATTCTCTCAGGCTTTTTACTCTCTAATGCTTGATCTAACCCTTGTTGTGATAATAGATCTTGAATCGTACTTTACCATAACATAAAATTACTCTTTTCATCAAATAACAAAATCTCAAACTTAGTAGATATGTCCCTTTTCACCACAATAATAACATTCAATGTCACTGTAATCTCTGTCTCTTGACTTGAATCTTTCTATTGATCCATCAATCTTCTTTTGAGTCCTCTCTTGATCAAAACTCTCTACAGCTAGTATATTCCTTCCAAGTGATGAGTTATGTGTTCCTATATACCTTTTGTTTTCACATAACAAGACAGTGACATCATCCAACTTCAAAGTAGACCTACCCACCAACACAGTCTGAGCTAAATGTCTATAAGACTTAAATAAAGATGATAGCAAAATTAAAACATTTTTTTCATCTTTTAACTCATCAACAGAAATTGTCACTAATTGAGAAACCAATCTATTAAACTCATTCATGTGATTATGAATACTCGTACCTTCTTTCATCTTTAGAGAATACAAATCCATCTTCAAATATAATATGTTATTCAACGACTTCAAAGCATAAATACCTTTAAGCTTATCTCATAAACTCTTTGGAGTACTATCAGTCAATACACTATATTTTACCTCTAATACTAGTGCCAATCTAATAGTACTAACAACTTTCTTTTGAATTCTATTCCAATTACTGTCAGACATTTCTTTAGGCTTACTACTCTCTAATGCATGATCCAACTCTTGTTTTACTAATAGATCTTGAATCATATTTTGTCATAACATAAAATTACTCTTTCCATCAAATAACGAAATCTCAAACTTAGGCATAGGCATACAAGACATAACTTTTTTAAACATCTTGAAACACTGCTTCACGATCCCTTAGGCCCATGAACCTTAAACCCCAAACCTCGCCTGATACCACTTGTCAGGAAATCAACATAAATATGTAGCACCCACGCACAAAATAGCAAGCTCAAATCAAGAATAAGAACATATAAATATATTTGTTTCGGTCCAACTCAAAATGATTTATTTTAAACCTAATCCACTATCAAATAAATCTTTACAATTGAGAAACTTTTGGAACAAGAAAAGTCACCAAAACTCCTTATTTAAAACTTAACCCAAAATTCAATTACATCCTTTTAATAACCTACTCACCTAGCTATTCTCTTGGTGTTTAACTATCTGAGATTACCAACCTAAAATCAAAACATCTTATTTATAAAGGTGAAACCGCTTATACCTTTAATAAACTCCCGATATGAGATACAAGATAAATTCAAAATTCTTATAACTTTCGATGTAAGATTATAAGATTTAAGGCAAATCTCAACAATCATATAATAATTTTTTAAAAAAATAACAAGTAGAAATAATAAAAAAGAATAATAGAATAAAATATGTGTTTTGATATTATATTAAGTATAAAATGTAAAATTAATTAATAATATTATAAAGAGATTCAACTTAAATAAAAAGTTAAAAATTTAACAAATATAAAATCACTTTAACACTTTCTACGAAAATGGTGACAAGACTAATTGTGGGATTATTCATTCAACATATGTGAGTTGATTGGATCGTTAGCCACATGAAAAATTTTCATTCAAATTAGGTCATTTAATACCAAATAATACGTTGAGGGTTCAACTAAAACAAATAAAAGAATAAGAGCGAAATTGAGAATTTTACCATAGTTGGAGGGTTTATTTTGTCATATATTACACCAAAAAAGTTTTGTGCTTGCTATGTAAAGCTGGGTGAGGAAGAAAAAGGATGTATGTGCATGGTTTTTTAATTATCTTCAATTCTGTTTTCTCCTATCCCTTGGATTCCTTCACCAATAAATTATTATCTTTTTTTTTTACTTTTTAAATTTTTTTATCTATTAGTAGAATATTAAATTCTTAATTTTAATAATTATTATTTAATGTTTAATAATTTCAATTACAAAAAATTAAAATAAATATATTAATATTAATAAAAAGAAATTATTAGACTAATTTTTTAAAAAAAATATTAAAAAAAACTATAGATGAAATAAAAAGAATGTTTTAGCCTAAAAGTGGATGTTAGATTTCGAGAACCTCAGAATATTTACTTTCTGTTCATTAATTTACTTTTTGCTCTAAGCATATGCCTGGAACATTGAGTAATTCCCTCTGGCTTTGAAGGTCTCTTGAGCTATAAGGATTGGTGAATATATCTTATATTATTGAGTTATAAGCTCGTAAACCCAAAATCTTAATTCTTCTATTGATTTTATTATATGAATTTATATTTAATATATAGTTAGTATATAAATTTTATAAATTATTAATGAATTATATGATATTATTTTATTATACAATTTATATACTTGTAATGCATCAATCAAATATGAACTTTTATTCTATTGTTGAATCAATCGTAATGGCTGCCTAACAAAGAATTAAAGGCAAAAATATTGCCTTCGTTTAAACGCCCTGCTTCTTGTCTTGTTCAAAATTTTAAATATATTACTCGTCAACGTCATCACAATTAATTATCGGTTCATGAAGAAATTTCGACCCATTTCTCTACTATTTATTGCGACATTTTCTCTGGTTTTCATCAGATAAACCTTCTTTACTTTCAAGAATAAGCATAGCCTTTTTTCTTTGTATTCACCAATGGCTCCAAGTTTTGAAGATGGTAACTCTCTTTTTAACTTTGTTGTCCGGGATGGAAATGGTGTCAAAGGAATGGTGGATTTAGGGTTATCGAAGGTGCCACAGGCTTACATGCAACCACCAAAAGAGCGAATAGTCAAAGAAGACTCGAGAAAACATGGACAGCCTCCGATCGATTTGTCGAAGCTAGATGGCCCTGACCATGATGAAGTGGCCAAGGAGATTGTTAGAGCTGCTGAGACTCTTGGTTTCTTCCAAGTTGTCAACCATGCAGTCCCTGTTGATCTACTCGAGTCCCTTAAGGACACTGCACATAACTTCTTCAGCTTGCCCCCTGAAAGGAAGGCTGTTTATCGTTCAGAAGTTAGTCCAACTCCATTAGTGAAGTATGGGACGAGCTTTGTACCGGAGAAAGAGAAGGCATTGGAATGGAAAGATTATATCAGCATGCAATACACTAACGACGCTGAAGCTCTTGAGCATTGGCCTGTAGAGATTAGGTGAGAAATAAAATTAATGGTTTTTGTACATGTTTTGCCCTTGTATGCAGCTCCAATTATATGAATAATTTGTTCATCATCATCAATTTGGATTATTTTATTTGATTTTTACTTTCTAGGGACGTGGCACTTGAGTTCCTGAGGACATCAATCAATATGGTGAGAAAATTGCTTGAAGTTTTGTTGGGAAATTTAGGGGTGAAACCTGAAGACTCAATGATTGATGTACTCATTGACAAGAAGATGGTTAATATGAACTACTATCCAACATGTCCCGATCCCGATCTTACCATAGGAGTGGGGCGTCACTCTGATATGGGCACACTTACAGTCTTGTTACAAGATGGAATTGGGGGTTTATATGTGAAAATTGAAGAAGATGCGGATTTTGGAAAGAAGGGAGAGTGGGTAGAGATCCCTCCTATTCCTGGTGCCTTGGTTATCAATGTTGGTGATATGTTACAGGTAATAGATATTGGTTCATGCAATTACTTTTAAAATATGGTATTGAGTAAGTCTAGATTTTGAATCTCTTTATATGCAAACATTTTCCTCATCTTCAGGTTAAGATCTTCTTTGTTAAAAAGAAACAAATCAAACATTTATTCAGAGTTTGAAACCCTTTTTGCTTCACCAAAAGTTAGCCATGTGAAACAAGTTGAAGATTCCAACAAACCCAGGCTCTAAATTTAATTACACATTTTTAATTTGTTTTTTTATTTGCAGATACTAAGCAATGGAAAATACAGAAGTGCAGAGCACAGAGTTCGTACCACAAGTACAAAATCAAGGGTGTCGATACCCATTTTTACGATACCAAAACCAACACAAAAGATTGCACCTTTGCCTCAGGTGGTAAAGAAAGATGGAATTGCTCTTTATAGAGAGTTTGTGCTGATTGATTACATGAAGAATTTTTTTGGAAATGCACATGATGGCAAGAAGTCGCTTGATTTTGCCAAAATTGATGCTGCTTGATTGGGATTTAAGAAAACTCAATTTGCGTGATTGTTTTTGTTAACTTTATTACATCGTTTGATACTTCTTACATGCATGTTTACCAATAAATTGAAGGGTGAATTATACACTCTCAAATCCTTCAGTCGCTTTGTTCTTTCTCTATGTTGTAGTATGAAATTTGTTACCCTCTATACTCAAAGCTCCTCTTTGATGTAATTAATGTTTGTTTACCTAATAGTATATTTTATAAGATTATTGTACATTTGTCTTGCAATATATTTATTCTCTAACATAACGTGTTTAAGTAAGGTTCCGTTTGAGAATTTAATTGGAAGACTTTCCTCCTGTCGAAAACTACGTTTTACGGCTTGATCTAAATTTATAAATAAATTAAGGCAAATGTTAAGCAATAAATTAGAATATTTTAATGCAAAAAATTAAACGTCAAGACGTTGACTTATTGCTGTGCACAGCAATCACATGTCTGGTGCATTTGTTTGTAATTTTCTAAAAAAAAGGGTAAATCGTCAAAGTTACGCAAATGATATATGTTAATTTTGTAAATTTACTTTGTAGAGTTTAAAATTGTTATTGGTATAAAGGAAAATAACCATTAAACGAAGGCCAAGGTCATCTCTTTCGGAAAATGGCTGCCCCAAGCAAGACTCCACCGCCCATGACTCAATATGGGACCATCAATGGAGAAGTTTTCACTGATGGTTTTTCTTTTTTTTCTAAACCAAGTTTATTAAAGTAATCAAAATGTCACAACGCTAGCGATAGCTAATAAATATCATAATGGTTTTGAGATTATTAGATTAAAATTTTAAGAATTTCAAAATCAAGAGAGTAATCGATTTTTTTTATTAGGTGTGATTGATCATTTAAAAAAAATTTAATAAAATCTTAAAATTAATTAAAATCTATTAAAAATAATTTTTGGTTTATGAAAAGTAAAACATAATTCGAAAATATAATTACACATGAGAAATGTTAGTATCTCCACAATATTCGTTTTAAAAATAGTACCAACTGATCATATGTTATCATTTTGCTTTGATAAAGATGATCTTAATTTTGATATTTAAAATAATTCCCTTAACCTTTATTTCTTTGCAATTTTTTTTAAATCTTTAATTTATGAATAAGATGAAAAATTTTAATTTTGAAATATTTTCTAAATTCCTTAATATCTAGGCAAAATTTAATATTTCTCTGTTTGAGACTCATAATAAGTTTCAAAATCTGGCATAATATTCCTTTATAATAATAATCATTATGAAACCGTCTAATATCTAGTTAGGTCCTAAAAGTTATCTTTACTTAAGAATATTAGTTTCTTTCCTAAACATCCATTTCAAAATTTTATCTTTTTCATTTCACATTTATTACCAACTATGATGCATGTAATGCCATATATGAAATAAATGATGCAAATAAGAATCACACAATGTAATTAATTAATTTCATGTTTTTTTTTTCAAATATTTTTATTTTTATACTTCGTACTATTATTTCTTTGATAAATATCTTTAATGATAGAAATTTTCCTTAATTCTCCAATATTTAGGTGACATTGAAAATTTATCATTCTTAAAAAAACCTTATAATAGTCTTTAAAATAAAGACAACATTTCTTGGTAAAAATAAACATTTGAATTTCTTTCAATATATAGGCAAGATTTTAAAAATTATTTTTATCCAAAATATTATCTTATTTTTCCTAAAAATATCTCTCTTTGTTTCTTAAAAAAAATCATTAATTTTCATTTCACTTTTATTAGTATGATGATGAAAATAAAAATAAAAACAAAATGATACCAATAATCAATTTTATTTCTCATTTTGCGAACTTTTTAATTTTATTATTTTTATCATCTTTTTATTTTTTCCTTTCAAAAAAAATTTAATTAAGAAAATAAAAATCTTTTATGTTGAAAATTTTCTTTAATTCTCCAATATCTAGGTAGAATTTAAGAAAATGGAGAATTAAAGAAAATTGATCCTTTCATTGAAAAGTTTGCATAAAAATTTTTATTTAAGAAAATAAAAATGATATTTAATAAAAATAAATATTTGAATTCCCTCCAATATCTAAGTAAAATTTTCAAATTATTTTTATTTAAAAATATCATGTATTTTATATATAAAATCCATTTTTTTAGTCATCCATAATAAATTTATTTTCAAGACTAAAATCACATGTGAAAATAGACAAATAAGTAATAAACAAATTGGTAAGTAAATAGAGAAATGAAATTAAAATATACCTAAAAAAGATTGGGCTAAACCTATAATAGAGCTCAAGACAAAACTAGTGGGTTGATTAGGTATAGATCTAATGGGCTCAAAATCCAAGATGGGATAAGTCGATTCAGGTTGGTTCAGGATCGATCTAGGTTGGTTTTGACTTGATCCTCTTTCTTTTTTTTTTTCTTTTCATTTCTTTCTTTATTTCATTTTTTCTTTTTTTCTTCTCCTTCTTTCTTTTTCATCCTCTTTCTCTAAACCAACTGTTGTTTGCCGTTGGTTTAAGTAAAAAAAAAAAAACTTTTCGATTCCTTTTTCCTTCCTCTTTTTGTTTTTGACCTTAGGTTTTTTTTTTTTTATAAATCTTGCTGGATCTTTCTAGATTTGAATTTCAAGCCCACGACTTCTCACTTTTTTTTCGTTGTTTTTTGTCTTTTGATCCTTTTAAAATTGAAGTATGTTGTTTTCCTCATTTTTTTCTACCTTTTCAACATTTTAGATTGCTTAAAAGTCTCTTTGCTGCTTAATTATAGCTTAAAAAACTTGTCTTACAAGCTCAAGGAAACTCCCTTTGGACACATAAAAATCCTTTAACTAAAATGTTTTACTTCTATTTTGTGATTTTTGTTTTTATTTTTATTTTTTTTGGTTTGTGGTGTTGTGTTCTTCTTTAGAGGATGTGGTTAGTTTTGATTTTTTTTTTGTGGCTATGATTTTCATTTTTAGGAAACAAAAGTTGGGAATTTTGGTTTTTGTTGTGGATAAGTGTTTAGCGAGAATGGAAACCGACTTGGTTTTGGACCTGTTGTTCTTTTATTGTGTTGTTTTTTATTTTTTGCTGTGGCTATTGTTTTTTATTTTCAGTTGCTTATAGTGTGGAGTTCAAGTAGGTTAGTGGAGCTATGTGTTGGTTCTATGGAATTGAGGATGCTTGCATGTGGTAGGTAGACTGTTTGGTGGTGAGAGTTTGGTTATTAGTATGAATGGCAAGGAATTAGAGTGGTATTTTTTGTGACTTAGCATGTAGTCTACGAGAAAAAAGTGGGGTACTAAAGTTGATGTGTATTGGTGGTTTTGCTATGGCTTTTTTTCTCATTTTTCATCATTTTTTTTGCTCATCTTTAAAAAAAAAAATACGATGGATGGAAAGGTTTTACGGTAAGTGATGATAGAAAAGGAGGATGTAAGGTATAGGGTGGCTAAAAAAATTAGGGTATTAGAGTTGATGTGTATTGGTGATTCTACTATGGCTTTTCTCTCCCCTTTTCATCATTTTTTTACTCATCTTTAAAAGGAAAAATGCGATGCATAAGAAGGTCTAACAGCAAGTGATGATAGAAGAGAAGGTTGTAGAGTATAAAGTGGTTAGATGAAGGCTAGTAAAGGTAGGTTGGCTTAGTAAGGGTAAGGTGGCTGGTAGGGGTGGGGTGGTTGTAGGCTAAGTTATACGATATTGAATTTTCAAAATTTAAACTAAAAAGTATTTTGATAATTTTGCCTTCAAAGGATAATCTTGTAATTTCACATATTCAAGGTCAAAATCGAAATTGAAATTCAAATCAATTTTACAGCACCAATAGAAAATATTAGACTTTATATAATGCAAACAAACAACTGATTATTTAGGTAAAATCCATTGAATTAATTCTAGTTTATTGATTGCTTTTTGAAAAGTTGACTTGTGAAAAACCAATACAATTGAAAGCATTTGGATAAAATTAGGTGTCAATAGCTATTCCTCTTTATAAATTCTGAGAATCAGTAATGGGACAAAGATAAAGACAATAATTTTTTATGGACCAATGGCTTAAAGATTTTTTTTTTTTTGTTAACTCATCGCGATAAACTTAAAAATTAACCTAAAAACCCCTTTCATTAAAGATTCTACAACTTTTGAAAATAAATCTAAAAACTCCTCTCATCAAAAGCTTACAACTTTAAAAATAAATCACAATGACTCAGAGATTATACCTAAACGTCTTACAAATCTCTACATTAAAACAAACCCAACTTGTAAGATTTACAAATCTTGCCTAGAGTACTTTAAAATTTTCTTATATAAGAAATCTTAAAAATTCTCAACATTTTCCTTTCAAAAAATGCTTTTAAGTAATATCACATCTGTTTTCAAATTTCTATGACAACTTTCTTAGGATTGAGCCCAAAGGTTTTACAAATCTCAATGGATTTTGCTCAAATGACCTATGAATCTTGTCCAAGAGTCTTGTAAATCTTGACACTAAAATAGATTTAGCTCGAAAGACTTACAAATCTTACTTGAAGGACTAAGAGATTATGTCCGAAGGTCTTATAAATCTTAATGCTAAAATAAATTCATCTTGAAAAACTTATGAATTTTTCCTAGAAGACTTAAAGACTATGCTCAAAGGTCGTAGAAGTTTTGACACCTATGAATGTTCCTCTAAACAAAGGCTTAATAACTTTAAAAATCTAAAATATTATGTCCAAAGGACTTATGAATTGTTCTCATCTTTGTTCAGAGGTCTTAGAAATTATGCCTGGAGGTTTTATAAATCTTAACACCTATAAATACTTCTCTAAATAAAGGTTTCACAAGTTTAAAAAAATTAAAACATTTTGCCTAGAGGACTTATAAATTGTTCTCATCTTTACTTGAAGGGATAAATTTCTCATCTTGATTATTAAAAATCTTTAAAATTTTCTCATATTGAATATCTTAAAAATTCTAAGCATTTTTTTTTAAAAAAGTTACGTATTTTACTCAGAGGATTTGGAGACTGTATCTGAAGGTCTTATAAATCTCGACATTAAAATATATTCAACTTGAAA